CACATCCCCAACAGATGCCCACGTGAGTGGACTGAGCCCGCTATAAGGACCATGCTTTTCTTCCTGAAGTATGCAAAGAGTGAAGATCTCTCCTTGACCCACCAGGAGTTCAAAAAGCAGGCGAGCCGATATCCAGGAACACTTTTGGCCCATGAAGGAGGTTTGTTGACACAAAGTTAAGCAGAGTAAGACAGACAGTAAAGATAGCTCATTCGTCCTGCGTGCATTCTTTCGACAAGCGATGGCAAATGTCAACACGTGCCATGCGTTGTTTGTCATGTTTGAGTTTACGCGCTGGCCTGCCACTTTTGTGAGGTCCAGCGCTACTTCAAACCGTCAAAGCATATATAGGCGCCCAAGCCCTCGAAGTATCATAGAAACTGAAACACGGGAGAAGGCTCCTGAAGAGACCGTGCAGCCAGACCAATATCCTGAATCCTGCTGTCTCTGGCTATTTGGACTGGGCTGGGAACCTTAATCGGACCAGGGTTGTGCCCGGTGGGCTCCAACTCTGCTCGATGGACGCCGACTTGCCCAGACAATGGCAGACTGTAGACGGGGAGATGGCAGACTTAAGTGGTTGGTGATGTTGTGAGCTTTGCCATGATCCCTCCCGTCTCATCACTCGGCTCCTGTGTTTCGCAGATGGCCGCGCTTGGCGTTCTTTCGGCCGAGGCACAGCGTGAATACCGTCCTGGCAAGGAGTTGGTGGACCTTTCACGCAGCAAGGGCCTGAAGGTTGATTTGGTGGGTGGGCAGAAGAAAAGGCACATTGTATAGAATGTATATTACTATACAATGTAGGCTCTTGATTAATAAACTCCCCATATGAAGAGGATTTCAGACCCCATCCAGAATGAGAAGACATCTTGGGGTTTGTGTCAGTGTTGGTGCCATATTGCTCTGAGACCAGTGCATGCAAAAACTCTGAGAATTCAGAGTTTCTTGAAACAGTACTATGTGTAAGTGGTTTCATAGTCTGGTCAACAGTGTCATAGTCTAAGGAAGGTTCATAACTTGAAGTACGGAGTAGTTCTTGTAGGTGGTCATAGTCAAGTTACTCCGGAACAAGGGCGGGTGCTGGAACGAGCCGAGCCGTAACGTCTCAGGTCATAGCCTTATGGACACCAGTGACGTCTCAGCTGCTGGGGTGCTTAGAACGGCACGGATTGCGGGTATGGCTCATGGCCATTCGCAATGAGAAAGGTGCCACCCACTCTCGGATCATACATGGATGTTGAGTTCAAAAGGGGCATGTACAAAAATCCTCTTACGGGCCCTCTAACTATAGGACGAAGTGCACCCTAAAGGGTGCACTGAGGACCATATGGCGACTACTGATGGACTGCAAGACTGACTACGCTACATGGTCCTCAGTGCACCCTTTAGGGTGCACTTCGTCTAGAGGGCCCCTTCCCTCTAACAGTAGGCTGGGCTTGGGTTGGTTTGGTGCATCCAAAAGACTTGACCAGCTTCCTGAGTTTCCTGTCGTTCATTGGATTCTTCAGGATGTTTCCCATATACTAATTCCATCTATATACTCCAGGATGACCATGAATTGAAACAGGAAGGAAGAATACTCACGCAGCATCACAGAGCCAATGTTTGTAGCTTTGCTTTCCAGGAGTCACACAGGGGTGGTTTTTAGTCCCATCCCGTGAGTGGATGTGATAGGGGCACCCCTAACCTCCAAGTTCAGCATGAGATTCATCTCCATGCCACTCGGTGATGGGTTTTTCCTCGTTTGCATCACTGGGTCCGACCGGATATCCGACAGGTCACCAGGTGAAATGGCCGATGTGCAGCCGAGGATGTGTTCTTCCATTCGGCCTTTTTTGGCCAAGCTGGGGTGGATCATAGGCTCTGACCGAGCAGCCATAGCCCTCATGAAAAGCAACACCAACAGAAATCTGAGTGCTGGTTCTTTCTTAGGGCTTCAGCATAACACCACTAAGAAACTAAGAGTCACTTGTCCGGTCGACCCCACTCAATGCGCTTGGTTTCTTCCCAGCAAACCAAAAACGATCTTTGGGGTCGACCGGCGAGAGGGTCCGACCCGCCCGAGGTCTTGCAAGCCATGAGACCGGCGCAAAACAGCAGCTTTTCGGGTCGGCGGCAGTTGGTCGGTCGTGGGAGTGGGGCGGCGGGGTGGTGCGTGACGAAGGGACAGAGGGAGACAGGGAGAGAGGGAGAGCAAAGAGCAGGAAAGGTATTGAGGCAAAGATGTGGAAAGGAAAAGCAGGGGGAACACACGTGCAAAGAGATCGGCCTCCAGCTATCCATCAGCGGGTATGCAGATGAGTTGTCAAGGAGTTCCAGGTGTTTGTTCTTTGGTACTTGTCGATTCGACACCTGCATGGCACTGGGTCAAGGCTTGGACATTTTCCGCGAGATCTTCTACCAGTGCAATGCTCAGAGTAATGCGGCAAGTATCAGGAACTGCCAAGCCGCCCAGGTCCAATTGGCGTAGCTTGGGCAAAGTCCACGTCACATGTCGTTTTTTGTCGTTTTTTAGATGCTTTTAGTGATGCTCGCGGCTGATGTATTTTGCACAATCAGCATTGATGTGTTTGAGCCTCATGGCACAGCACTGAAAGATTGAAAGGAATTGGAGTGAGAGGCGCACATCCGTAGCTGGAGAACCTGGAGAACGGAGTCAGAACACAGGGGGTGAGAGACCCGACAACAATCAGAATAGCAAACATAGACACTCCATGTCGCAAATGGATGTAAATGGTGTATATGCAACCGAAATGACCCCGCATCAACCACACCAATGTGGCCAATATCTGCAAACATATGCAAGTAAGTAGTATGCCATTAGGCGTGATTGGGGATATATATATACATACCTTATACAATACCTTATACACGCACAGTATTATATATGTTGTACATAAGTGGGCGTCGGGGTTTGCCCACCTGCGCCCAGGTGGGCACTCTGTATGCGTTCCGGGGCCCGGTTATGCCCGGTTTACATCGACCGGCGGGTCGTTTTGAACGTGGAGACGGTGTGTCGACGATCTCCATGGGAACAGTCAGACGAGGTCGTGCACTTGAAGGTGCATTCAGTGTAAATTTGTTGGTCCGAATTCGTGTGCAGAGAACGTGATATATGTCCCAAACTGAACATGAATGGAAGAGTGGACCTTTGTGCAGAGAGAGAGAGAGTGCAATGTCGGTACAAATCCTATTGTGTGTGTGAGTTTGCCGTCCGGTCAGAGCGCTGCCCCCACCCAGCCCCTATCATGAAGTAGCATCGTATTAAATCATATCAAATGTGTGGTTCCATGTTTATCTCCCACGCACGTGAGTGCTTCTAGCTCGTCCAGGACTAGAAGGAACTATATAACTCTTCACAGGGAATCTTTGGCATCGAGATCTGAGGCAAGCAATTCAACTTGCTGGTTCTTCCACATCACACGCAGGTGTTTTTTATTTTTTTGCCTGGGCGCGCGGGCTGAGCTGGGCAGATGTAGGAGGCCACCGGTTTAGAAAGACATAGAAAGACGCAAGGCCGGATGACTTGAAGATAGCTGAAAGCAATGAACATCGGGCTTGCATACATCCCAGCATGCCAGAATATCAATGTGTCAATTTTTGGAATCTACTTTTTGATACTTTTGAATTGTCATTCTGAAACTAGTCATCCCATCGGGATGCAGCTAGGGTTTGGATCCAGGCTGCGTAGAGTTTGGGACTTGACTCTGGGAGGCGCGGGCTTACATCCGGGAATCTGTTTGCCAGTCTGGAAGTCAGCTAGCTGGCGCTCTGTTTGGCGCTCACCACCAGAAAAAAGCCATGCTATCACTCTTCACGCTATGTTACATAGCGAGGGAAAGAGAGAGGGACAGGACATTCCACTGCTACCGCGGAATCCGTCTTCCTCGCGGACTCCTCTTGAGCGGGATGGGAGAGTGGAGGAAGCGAAACCGAAACCTGAGACGCCCGCATCAAGGGGTTTCCCAACATCCAAGGGAAAGCCCCAGCTAGATGCGGGCTGGCTTTCCCTCATATTTGATGCATAAGTTGACCCAAAGTGGTTCCCAGAAACCCCAAAGTTGACCAGTTACCAACAGAGGTTGAAAGACCCTATAGGCTATCCGGTGCCCCTGTAGTGTCCTATAAAGTCACTTAACCTCTGTTGGTATTTTTTGTGGTTCATAAAGTTGACCCGAAGATCCTTTTTTGGGGAACTTTCATGACGCGCGTTCACCCCTGTCCCATACTATGAGGAGCACCTGCCTTTGTCCCATGTTTTGCGAAGGGCATTTGGCGGCATTTGCAAGCAGGCTTAACCAGTGCACCCATGCCCATGCAAGCAATTCAGCTACTGAACTCTGGGAGAACTATGGAGAACTAGAGATCTACGCACCTTTAGCAGGATGAATCTTGTGCGCCCTTCGCCGCCTTAGCTTGGCCCTTGCCTTGATCAACCTTTGATCCACTCTGCAGCGGCGTTTTGTGTGTCGTGAGGGTTTTGCAGCACCCTCGGTGTCGCCGAGCTTTTGCTCAAGCTGTGATGAACGAGGTGCACGATGGCTTTTCATGGCTTCACCATGTTGCACCTCAGTATGAAGCTCCACGGCTAGCTATAATTAGCTATATAGATTCCAGACAAGCTGAAGGGTGATATGATCTCACGTAGCTAGGAAACAGAATGGTTGGGTCTTTAACTTTTTGCGCCACGTTGTAGATCGTTCTTTGACGGTGTTGCTGATGAAGCATTGGCATGCCTTGGCAATTCAGAATGACAGGCCATCTCGCTGAGTGTCGTTGACCAGTCCCATCTTCGATGTTTCGGCAACATGATTCAACATGAAATTCCTCAGCTGTTGATCATCTCGCACCAGTTCACAGTACTCCCAAACTTTGACATGATGGAATCTATGGCCCATAGAAGTCTTTGGCAGCACCCGAAGTGAAGTTATTGGAGCCGGGTCATCTAGGGACCATGTTTAAAGATAGTCGACTGGACTCCCAGGGTTTGATTTTGCGTTGACTGGACGTCGAATTTCGGCGGTGATTCCTGCCATGGCGGCTGGCGCCGACGAGTACTTCCCGTTGCGAACGCCCGAAGGACCACCACAAAAGGGGGCTGCAAGGCAAAGCGACTTGCGACCCTCGTGGAAGGAGCGTTTTTGCAAGCCTCTTGGAAGACAAAGTCAGGAGTTCAAGGATTGTGAACACGGGTCCGCTGACCAATGCGCAAGGTTTTGATGAGCAGACTTCAAGTCTTCAATAGTCTTCACAGGTTTGTTCTAAGGCCACAGCATTTTGCTTGTTTGCTTGAGCTTCTTTGCATTCCAGAAATGACCCACATGAGCAGGGCCTGAGTGCGTATGCATGCTTTGAGGTACCATGGCAGGTCGTGTGCTCCTTTTTATTGGTGTTGGGCCGCTGAATCGACCGTGATCGATTCTTGCCGATTCAGGTTCTTGCCGATTCTGGAGTGGCTTCCCTACTACAACTGGAAGGAGTACGGCCTCAAGGACTGGTGAAAAAACGCATTGGCCTCGGAAACCCAACGATCCGAGGTGTCGATCGTCCTGCCTGTCGACGTCGACGTCTACAACGCGGTGTTTTGGGTTAGATGAGTCTCGGTGCTCTCCCTTTAGTGATAGACACGGCCAGCTGAACGGATCAGTGGCGTGGCAAGAACGACCGGAGGCACCGGCATTTGTTGCTTGCACTCCCGCTGTCACGATCCCATGGAACCTGAGAATTCACCCGCAAAAGACCATTAATCCTCTACCACCCGACGTGGTGAACTGGGGGTTCTAGGTGAACCTGCGGTTCGGGAGTAGACATACAGTCACCACTTGACCCGGGTCATGTCCAACCAGCGGGCACCCGGGCGTTTCAGACAGCCGGGCAGGACCTGTCTGGCGGGATTACCTTGGGCTGCATTCTGGTCGCCCAGTCTTTGGCGCATGCAGATCTTTGCAAGGCGCCTCTGGCCAGATGCGCCACTGAAACAAGCCGAGCCGAAACAGAGTGACCAGCTAGGGTAGCGCTAGTGGTGCCCTTTCCAAGCAACAAAAACAATCAAAAACATAAACTCATGCCAGCACCTGAAGCCAGCTATAGTCCAGTGGAGAAAGAATACCTTTTGCACCGCTCTCTATTTGGTGCATGAATGTGTCATATGTTTGTTTCTGGCTTTGGGCCCTGGTAACCGGCATGCCAGAATGCTGTGCGGGCGCACATCTCACAAGATGTGCGGGAGCTTCCGCGAGTTATATATGCTCCGCTTCACATACACATTGATACGAACATTTATATATCATCTGGGCGGTGGTTTCAGATATATAATCATTGCAATTAATTCTGTTAAATTGATTGCGAGATGATCCCACTGATTAGCATTTGTCAAGTGAATTGAAACCACCAACCAGATCATAGTCCAGATGATGTGTTTAATGCATTTTGAGTCATGTGTGATGCCCCCCTCGGGCTCCAAGTACCTTCTAAGGTGTTTGGGGTGGGTTTAGAGGGTCCAAATACCTTCTGAGGAGGTACTTGGAGCCCTAAGGGACCAGGTCTTGTCAAGGCTGGAGGTTTTTCCTCACCTTTGGGGTGTTTTCGTTGGCTCCACCATTTTGTCCGAGGCCCCTGTGGACTGAAGCGAGTGTTGCGAGGGGCGCGCAAGCCGACGAGTGGTGGAGCGATTTGACGTTCGTATGGTTCAGAACTGGCCCCATCTTAAAGCCAAAGACATCCATTTGGCACATTGGACCATGCCCAATCAAAATCCGCATGTTCCATCACGTCGAACATGTTTCGCCCAGATTCTGGTTTTGGGGGGGTCATCACTTTTTTCTACTCCCTACTCCGCTACTCCGCCCTCTAGGTGGATTTGATCCATGGGCCTTACAGCTGCATTTTGCCTCCCATCCTTTACTCTCTCTTCGGCACCTGCATCCATTCGTCCATAGGCGCCGTGAGCCGCGGAACGCCGAACACACGCGGAACGCCGACGCCAAGTGAACGCGTTTTCCCAGACCGGTGTAGCCTAGTAGTCTCACTGAGAGACGCGGCAGGAGGGATGTGTTGTAAACTTCGCGGCAGGAGGGATGTGTTAGGCATGGACTTTTTGAAAGGACGGAATCACAAGTTCATGATCTGAAGCCACGGAGCGAGAACGGCGCCAAGCTTTATCTTAATGGTTTGCACTATCTACTGTAGTCAATAGTTTTCAGGATCATTGGCTCCGGGAACGTCATGACCAGCTGTTGTGAGCATATCCAGTTGTGGCCTTTCTTTTTCAGGCACAGGAGGTCTCATAAGCCTTCTGACGGGAGAGCAGTGCAGAACTCAGTGAGTTTCACGTTGAAACCAACATGCGGCAGCGCTTAATCCACTCATCGTGGGGCACGCGTGCCGTTGCCCTTTTTTTTGTCGCAGACAGACCAGACAGACCGCATGGTTTGTGCATTTTTGGCAGCCGGAGACATGACATGTTAGCAGACCGGAACTGGACGGAACTCCATCTAGCAGTCAGGCCAAAGATTGTCACTATGTTCAACAAAGGCCTTTACTAACCATCATCATCCATCCCAAACTCTTTCGATGTCGTTGGATTTGCCTCCACAACTCACAGACTTGATCCGGTTTTGATCCTTCTTGAGGTTGGCCCACTATGGCGACCTAGAGCAACGTACACATGCAGGAGAATTCGCTTAGGGTAGACATGGGTAGACAGTAGACATGCCAAAACATGCCACAATGAAGTATAAAGCATACATCCCTATGGATCCACATACCTTCTCAGAAGGTATGTGGCTCCATAGGGCATAGACATTTTTTCTTCAGCTTCACTTGTACGTCTTCACTTGTACGGTACATGTCTGTTTGGTGAACCGTGGGCGGTCACCGGGCCCGAAACCGGTCCGGTCAGCGAGACCGGGACGGAGACGCGTGCTCCGTTCCTGTGAGTATCTAGGATCATGTGGACTCTTGAGGACCATAAACCCACCCCATTTAGGACTGAAGAACCTCTTCATATGGGGTGTGTATGGTCCTACGTCCTCAAGAGTCCACATGATGTCCTGGGTGTGTAACAGGAACAGTCTGGTACTCAATCCTCTCAAGATTGAAGATGTCCCGCCACCAGGGCCGCTCCTTCCGCTGAGCGGCGGGATTGGCCGGGCCGCCAGGAGCCATTTTCACCCTCCTCGTGGGTTTGGTGCACCGACGCAGCATTGCACGCGCGCGCACGCGGAGGGATTGACGGTGTTCCAATGGTTTTGGAATGTTTTGGATTTCGATCGCATGTTGAAGAATGTTGAAGACATCGAAGCATGAAAGAGAAGAACAGGTGGCAACGTGATGCACAGTGCAGTTCGTTTTTCGATGTGGCGTAGTTGATGTCACAGTGGCTTGGTGATTAATGCGTATTTGTGTTTGTTCTTTTTGTCCATCATTGTTTATTCCATTTTGTGTGTGTGTGTTCGGATGGTCATCCACGGTAAAAGCTGCGTTTGCGAGATCGCTTGTTGGTTTTTCAAGTCAACCTGGTAGACTGATGGGCGGAAGAGCTGTCGGCCCAGCACCACCAACCTGTTGACTGCTCATCCCAAAGCATTGATCAAATAAGCACGCACTAAACGCAAAACAATCGAGATGGCTGAGTAAAACACTGCAAACCACCATGGAAGCAAATGAAACACGAATACTGAATACACCACATTCATTTTGAAGTGGACACCGGCCACGTGAAACGGGGCTGTCTTCTTCGTCGTCTTTCTGCCTGAAACAGCGGCGCCCAGCTCAGTTGAAGATCACTTCCACAGGTGATCACCATGATGGGCGTCTTTCGCTTAGCCTTTCTCGTGCGGTTTCTTTCCAAGCCGGCGCAGCTGGGCTAAGCGGCTAAGACACGTGCTGACAGCAAGTGGTCGTGGTAGCATGCGGTCCCTTCTTTTGGGGGTGTTGTGGGAGGGGTCAAGACTTCAGACGGCCAGCAGACTTCAGATGTAGCTGCCGCAAGAAACCAGAACAATGCAACAGTGGTCCGCGTTTCTTGACACTGTAGCGATGATCAATCTATAGTTCGATCATTACATGGTTGGCAGAGGAAGAGGCTTTGAGGGCTGGCTCGGCTGTGTGTCTGGCTGTGCTCGGCGCTGCGGCTGTGTTGAATGAGGCTTAGCGGCTTCATCACTGCGAGCGCCATTCTCATCATGGCGTCTCAGATGAAGCCCATGTTGGGCCTGCCCAAATCGGACACGGGAGGCATTTTTGCACCTTGACTTGAACATAAGCTCTTGCTGTGGTTTCAGTTGAAGCTTGGAAAACCCAGATTTTGGTGCCAGGGAGCACTATACCAACATTTGAGATGTTGTGGTTTTCCTTGCCTTCATCGTGATGTTTCCGAAGCTCTTTCCACAGTGAACAATGTATCAGAGGGGTGCTGGTGTATCAGAGGGGTGCTGGTATGTATCAGAGGGGTTCCTGCTTTAGCCTCACCGCATTGGTTGTTTTGATCTTGTGACACTTGTGTATTCTTTTTCACCTGGTCTCGCATAAAGGAAAGGGATAAACCACCAAGAAACAGACCAACATGTCAGGCCATCGCTTGGTTCCACCCCAATGAGTTGGCAGACCTCCGCCCCGCCACCATCGCGGTGAGTCTGGGTGCCTCGAAATTCAAAAGCAGCCGGCACCGGGCAGAGAAGGAACAGGCAGCGGAATGGGCATGTCGTCCCTGCTGGTGCAGGGTGGTCCTCCAAGCAATCTAGGAATGTATACATATAAATAGATAAATGACAAAAGATTGAAAGTCATACATGATATATGCAAAATACATATAAAAATGCACTCGCACTGAAATAGTTCAAGGTTCCGTGTAGGTGGAATTTGCCGTCGAAGGAGTGCTTCACCCCCAGTGCCACAAGCGGTCAAGCAGGTGAAAGCACCAGGTGATCAGTGCGCCAGCAAACTTGTTTGGGGATGAGTTTCTCAAAAGAGCAGGTATTGTATATATATATATAGAACAAGCTTACAAGCTTGCTTAGTTTCTTAGATGCATCGTTTGTTCCACCAATGTCACACGGACATCGGACCTGTTCGACGTTCGGAGCGGTGGCTGGATGGCAAGTGTCTACTGGTGACATAGAGTACCCAATTAATAGGGGATGACTGATGACGGATGACTGTTTTTGACTGAATCATCCAATGATGATTGAAAACACCAATTGATGTCAGATGAAGGCTTTGTTTGGAGAAGAGCCCACCTCTGCGGATGACTTTGGCCGTGCCGTTCCGGGGTCAAGGCCGCCAATGCCACGCGCACGATCCGTGTGGTATGACTGTTTGTTTGGAACATCAGCTTTAAGGGATGGACGTTGAGCAACGCTTTTCGACGTGCAAACCATGTGAGACTCGTGTCGTTTGCCCGGCCGAGGGGCCATGACGACGAATTGACCGGTGGTACCACCCGGTAGTTGGCAGGGGTTCCATGTGGTCCGAATAGCAGGGGAGTAGGATCTGAGGTGCTTTGGGCTACCTGTCCATCATCAAGAGGCTGAAATCGCTGCATTGGACTCTGCGAATGCTCGGCGACTTCAAGGAGATGGCGACATCGGCATGAGATCGGAGTGGCGTGACGGCGGCAAGGGCCTAGAAGCAATAGAGGTCCAATGTCCAACTGATATCGAAGGGCTCTTCTAAGATCTTCTAAGCAGGGCTGTGCTGAGATTTGTATGTTACTGTGACTTGGTTCTCAGGCGCAGCCGCGCAGCCCGCAGTGTAGACCCTTTTGCTGCCTGCCAGACCATGGTGTCTCCGAATCGGAGACCGGTTCAGTGATGGCCACCCAAAGGGTCATGTTCTTTCTTGGTGTTGCGCGCATTGCGTTCGTTTGTGTGAAGACATTGCTTTCGCTTGTGTGAGTGAACCCTCCACTCCTTTGACAGGCCGCGTGATGAACCCGGACCGGGGAGTAGCCAAACCGACCTTTGGAGTGCCCTTTTCACGTTCTGATTGAATGTTTCACCACTCCAAAGGGCATAATAAAGGTCACATAAAGGTGGAAAGCCACTCCAAGGGTGGAAAGGTCACATACTTTTCCAACTGGGGGGCATCTATTGTGTTTCGAAGAACCGCCTTCGAGCTATGCTCAGTGCTTTCATCCGAAAACACTCTCCTCGCGACTACCTGCGCGCCAGGAGCTGTCAGCCTTGACCTTCTTCGCGATCGCGGCCAGTAGGCCGGAACGATTTTCAGGGAGCGAACGTTGAATTTCAGTGGTTTCAGAGCAGATGGCATTTACATGCATTTACCCTTCTTCCTTTTCTTTTTTCTGTGTTTCTAGCGATGGCACAGACCCCACGATGTCCTAGACAGATGGGGGTCCATCTAAACCACAGACACTGGGGGTTGTGCCAACTACTCTCAATCCACTGTAGTGGCAAGACCAAGGGGTCTGGGTCACTTGGAGCCCAAGACCTCAGCCCACCATGTAGCAAAGCGAGTTCGACCGACACCTGCGTCGGTCAAGCTTTAGGCCTTAAGGTATCCTGGTATTGACCCACAGCCAACCTACTTGACTGAACGTTATAACGCAAAGCAGACATCGCAAGACTGAGAAAGCAAACTGGGCGACATGGGCAGGGAAGGTGTCATTTGGTAGAACGGCCAGGGTGAACGGCCAACTTTTGAGATTCGTTCGATGACCAGCAGATTTACGTACTATGTTTGCTTGGTTGGTCGTCGTAATCTCGACAGCTGTTTCCTGCCGTCCACCCTGGTCCCCATCATCCAACTCCAAGCCACCTTGTTGTTAGGACCGTTTTGCGTGGCGACCGGAGAGGTCGTTGGGCAAACGACCGACCCGACGGGTGTCACCGAGGGCCGTGGGGTCCGAACAGCAGACGGCCGAGAAACACCCGCGCGCGAGCCGTGGTTGAAAGGGAGCCAGATGGAGCCAGGTTGCTTTGGGTCCGCGAAGGTCGGTGATGTGCAGGGCGGTTTTTTTGGGGGGGCCGGAAAGGCGAACACCACTGGTGATACGCAGTCCCTGGACTCGGTCATTTCGGATCTCTTTCTTCAACACTGCACTCTTCGCTTAGGACCGTAGGAGCCGCTGAGTGAGCTGCTGGCTTTGTTGGCAAGATCTTGGACTGTTGCAGCACTGCAGCAGTTTCTCCTGCCAGGTTTGCCTCTGAATTTGGCGTCGCTGTCGTTGGAGAGACCTGGCAGCAGTTGACCATGTCTCATTTTGCCAGGAGTTGTGGTCAATGGCTGTGAGTCAAAACCTTCCCAACCAAACCATGCTAGCTTGACATCCCTTGTGGAGGAATCTGAGGCGCCCGGAGTGCCATGATCCACATCCACATCGACCGGATCGTAAAGCCTCAATGCCCTGAACAGTTCATGACAAAGATGGGTTGTTTGGAACTCGTGATGTCGGTCGCGACCTGAGGACGTACCAGCTGGCTTGCCGGGATTATCCTTGCCATTGCAAACGAAAGATGACGTGGCTTTGGCCAAGGACTCCAGACTTGGCTGCCTAGCCAAGGGTTGAGGATGGTTGAGTCATAAAAAGCACCCTGGTGCGTTGGATGAGTGTTGCGTGGGTGGTTGGCAGATTCTGCTACTGCTGAGACGTGACCTGTACCACAGCTGAGGCTGAACTGGCAAGTGGTTTTCGGGGGTTCAAGAAATGGCGCACGCGCGCCGCGAAGCTACGCCCAAAGATGCCAATGAATAGCGAATGCTGGGTTCTCAGTTTACAAACTTCAACCAGCGACAAGTCACCATTGGGTTTATCCACTTCGTCTTGAACACCTTGGGCCATCAAACTGGTTTCTTTCCACCAAAGCTAGAAGGTGCACTGGTCAAACTGAAAGTTTTCGTCTTGACATGTACTTTGATGTACTTTGTGTGTTTCAGAAGGGAAGCAGCAGACACTGTCATAAAGATTCTGTCACCTGGGTCAATCCACTGGCTTTCGGCACAAATCGGTGCTTTATCCACACGGACAACTCGACTCACGGACCGAAGTCGAATCCGTGACTCGCCAGGAGATGCTTCCGGGTGCTATCATGGTGGCCTTGGTCACCTTCTTATCCTCCTTCGCTGGAGCGAAGAAGCCCGGTGGGCCCAAGGGCGCGAGCGAGCGCACCGGTGCGCGTCCTGCCCCTGCTTCGTCCCCGCAGTGCGTCGCTTAGGAGGGCGCACTGACTGCGCAGCGTTTTCTGAGATGTGCAACGCTCAATAAGTTAAACAAAAAGATCTTTTTTTCCAACGCCAGTGGGGTGGGTTCCAGGTTTGGGGGTTAAGAGTTAGTTGGCTCCCGTGAGTCACGGTGGCTCCCGTGAGTCACGTCGACTCAAACAGTCAGCTCTCCCAGGTTTGCCATGCAAGCTGGCTACCAGGCACAGACATCGGGGCTAGCGGACGTGGCGGACCGCGGATGCTAGCGGTATGATGCTGATGCCTCATGTGTATGAGTGGATTGGCTCTTGCACACAAGATCGACCGTCAAACGGACCGAACGATGTGACCTACTTGGCCTAAGTGTTTGGCTTTGTTGAAGTTACACCTTCTAAGTCAATGACCTCGTCAAACTTGTTCATATAGATTTGGAGACAATGACCACTATAATTTACTCTATATATTAGAACCTATAGTTTATCTAGTTTTACTTGGTCCCACTAAATGTCCGTTAAAAACAAACATAGTGTTCATGATCTCTTCATGACTTGCAGGGACAAAATTGTATATACTCTGCCTGAATTTCAGCGACACTGAAGAATTGAACCTTATACAAAATACTTCCACGCCAAGCACTTGCAAACCAGGCCAGACGCATATTTTCAGTTCACGCCGGTGCAAACCAGACGCCGGGCTCCCCTGCCCGGCATTGGGATCGATCCCAGGGACGTTTCTCACTACGCGCGTTGTCCGCGTCTGGAGAAACGAGGCGGGCCTGACAACGCACCCGAAGCGAGAATCAGACCATGAATGACCAAAAATGCGGAAAAGGCAAGGTGCCGATGTAAGGTGAGCTGGACGCGGCTGGCCAAATCGAAACAAGGGTGCCTGCTCGAAGTGTCAAGCCCAACACTTCAGGTGCCCTGGGCAGCTTGAATCTTGTGTCTTGAAGCTCTTGCCAAATCCACGGGAGGAATCGAGCCCAGGGACGTTTCTCAAGACGTCCAATTTGAGCTTTTGAAATCACCGTGGGAGAGAGCCTAGCTCCTCGAAGGAGTATTTGTTTCCCACCTTGCAAGCCAGGCCATGAAGCTGTTGCCAGGAGGGACGTGGGCATGCCGCAAGAGTGACAAGAGAGGGGACTGCATTTTGTTTTTGCAATGGTTTGTCCGTCACACTTTTGAAGCTTCGTGTGAATCGAGGGGCCATACCTGACTCGTACTCACTTTTTTCTGCCAGTATATACCTGATTCAATCCCTTCCACCTAGCGAATGGTCAGTACAGATTCTAACCGGGTAAGAGGCACTGATACAGTATTCTTCATGTTGATCTCTGCACGTGGAAAAATGGCGGATTCGTCCAAAAATATCCCTTTGAACAGATTCCGAATGGTCGGATGGTCTCTTTGTCTCAGGTGTTTTACCCCTGCTTGTTTGACTCACATGGACCCTGTCAACCACAGGTTTGCAGAGGAATCCTTGGTGTGCATAAGGTAGGTTTTCGGGAGGTGCCATGCAGCGCGAACAACTCTGCGAGGTCATCGCCATCAACGAGTTGTTGGCCTTGGGTTTTGCCAACTTGGGCGGCGCCGTGTGCGGGGCCGTGCCCACGCAGTGCTTCGGCCTAACACTTGGTGGAAATGGCACTGGCCGTGTGGCACAGTGATCCAGTGGATCAAGAGATTTATATTTATATATATAGAGACCCAAACCACTGGTTAAAGGGTTGGTCAGTGGGTTGGTCATAGGTTCATGGTCAGGGGGCTGGAGTTCTGCAATTGAAAAGTGTATTCCAGAACCCTTGCCGGATTTGGTTTGCTTTATGGTTGATCCACAAGAACATCAAAACCTTAGTAATGTCCATGTTTTGCTTTGCCCCACGACCACGGCCGCCCAGAAAAAAACAATGCGCCAGGATTGGTTTGAGCCGTGCCTTGGTGCCGAAATTGGGACGTCGCAAAAAGAAACGTTCAGACTGCCACAGTGGCTGACGTGAAACGCCTCAGCGTGCGTGATTTTTCACGTGGAGAGACAGAGATGCGCGTATAGAGGCGCTGACTGAGGCCATGGCTGTTGAGTTGTTCATTCTGAAGCCAGCCTTACACGTGCCAAAACCATGCTGTTTAGACCTTCCACAGACACAATATTCAAAAAAATGTTTTTTATGTCGTTTTAAATTGTCTGCAGGCATACCATGTAAATATAAAATGTGTTTCCTACACTACAACCAACAACGTTTCTTCCCATGGGCACAAAATCAAATTCTTATGGACTATGCCAGTTTACCTTCAGCCCTTCAGTTATTTTTTTAGTTACATGGTTTTCGGTATCAATGTTTGGAAGCTGATCCTGACAATGTTTTTGCAAAATTTGATACACATCTCGGAAAAGGATACCTGTATGGAAATCCATGAACATTCAAACATGAACCACTGCCAATAGCAAACCTAACTTTCCATGGATTTCACATTTCTAAGTTTATGATTATTCACTTACTTCTTTCTAAACTGACATATCACATGGTTTCTGATATTTAAGTTGAAACTTAAGATTCCCATTTGTAGACTCAGATGTAAACACCCTGCTAACCAGTTGTGGAAGCACATATTGGCAGCCGCAAAGGACACCCTGTTTGTTTTTAAAACCAGTGGAAGCTGCTTTGTTTGGTACGATATTGTGTCCTCCTTTGCATTTAGTGTCCTCCAAAGACTCTGGTGAAGGAATCATGGTGAAGGATTTTCCCGCAGCAATTTCCCTAGAGACTCTCTACCTGTTTGGCCGCTGGTCGTTGTGCAGGCATGGGCATCGCCTACTCCACAGGTGTCATGAGCCAGTTAGGCGCCAACATCTATGTGGCGGAGACCTGGACCGCAAGTGAAAGGACCCGATGTAGATGGGAAAATTCATTCAGAACATGTGAATAATGGGCACCCAGTGGCCCAGTGAACCACCATTTTCTGCACGTCCATTGCAGGATCTATTTTAACTCTCGTTTCGACGCGTCCAATGCCCCAGTCCTCCATGACCCAGGCCTTGGTGGCTTTGGTCTTGAAGCTCTTCAGTGCCTACCTGTTTTTCGTTCCACGATGCGTCTTGAATGTCACACGGCTGCATGTGTCGGTCTCCCCCGTGGGCCGCGCGGTGTGTGGTGGTGTGGATTGCCAACGTCGGTGATGACTGGTGAACGTTTTGGAACATGGACCGCATTTGAGGACTGCCTTGTTTTTTTCCGTTCATTTTAGACGGAACTTCGCAACTGCCATTGGCAGCTTTTGAAATTTCAAAAAGCAAGCGTTGACTGCTCACACATGTGAATCTCCCGGGGGTAATCGATGTGAAGGAGAACTCCTTTCCTGTCAGAACGCAGGTCATCATTTTGCTGGGTGCTCAGCATCTGACGGAGTTCCAGTGACTTGGCAGAGGCAGAACCCCTGGTTTTTTCCGTGCTTTTTGTTGGAGCTCCAGGAGTTTCCACTGGCAGAGGCCTTTGATTTAGGGTTTTCTTTATCTACACCCCCATCCACGGGCATGGTCAATGTATGTAACTCTCAGAGCGCACGTGGATTGTTCACATTTCCCCATCGCTGCAATGCCAATAGAAGCGAGGCACATGCGATGGCTGTGGTCATTGCGGCAGACCCGCACGCGGCAGCGAACGTATTTGGTGGATGTCAGTGCGTCTCGGCATGACTTGGCGAAGCAATAAGACAACATTGACGAAAACAGGAGAATCTCCGGTCGTGGGCAGAAGAAGAGTATGCATTGAAGTGGTTCATGGGCCATTGGTAGATTGCCAGATTTGAAAAGTCAACTTGGAGTATTTGGAGTCAGGCAGGGCCTAAACCCAGCATACAGCATGCAGAATTACTGTAAACACGTCTCTTGATCAGTTCAGGGGTGCATTCGTCGACAGTTTTTTCAAGTGCCCAAGCTGTGACTTGCACATAATTGCGCAACATTTTGGCCAGAGCACATGAATGCGAAGAATTACGACCCGACGAGATGTGTGGCAGACATTCAGAACGCCTCAGAGGCAATTGTTCGCTGATGCACCAGATCAAACAACAGTGGAGCCAGCCGTAGGCTTGTTGCTTTGGATTCACCCCGATTTGGGTCATAGCCATATGCATCAAACACGTCCCTATAGAGCCTTTTCCAGCCCATTCCGCGTGAACATTAATACATCCGACTGTCTCGCGCATCTCGATGTCTCCAGAAGCAAGTGAGGAAGTGGAGCTTCTAAAGGCAATGTTGTGCCAGGGTTGGGGGGGAGTCTACTGTAGTTGCTGTGACACTGAGTGATATAGGAACATGTAGGAACTTAGGAACACAACAGTCAGCCCACCATAAGTGGTCTCTTCAGACAGTGTTTTGATGATGCGTTTTGTATTCTTGTGTCATTTTGTTTCGCTCGAAGTCCATCAAAATAATCTACCCTCCTCCCTCCAACAATCATGGAAGCGGAACATGGCCTTTACGCAGAGGAAGCCAGTATTCCAAGGGGCTATTTCCACGTCCATGTTTAGTTGAATGGAGGGTAGCCTCAAAAGAGTCGCTTATTTGGGCGACACGAATACATGCTTTTCGCACAGAGTGGGGCAGCCACGCAAGCCATGCTCGGCCTCCTCGTTCCAAGCAGCCTCGGGAGGCCATTTATGGTGATGAGGCGGTAGAGCTGCGAAATGATTTGGTCCTGGTTAGCTTGCAGCCCCGGGTCGGGCAAGGCGCAGAAATTCCGGCTTGGAAGCAGAGGGTCCAAGCGAGGTGTGTCCCATTACCAGCAAAATTGGGAAAGGGTTATCACTATTTTTATGAAAGGCCTTTGCTAACTGCCTTCATGCTGGGCACCCAGAGCCAACCACCCGTAAATATGACACCAGGCAAACTAAGGCCCTCCCATAATATTGCCAGATGTGACCTTGCTGATCTCTTTGTTGAAGCTGATCTCCTGGGTAAGGCCTCTCTCCCGGCACACAGACTCAGAAGTTCAATCTTTGCCTTATATTGTTGGAAATGCAGGCTGGCCATCCTTTCAATAGCCAGCGACGCCTTAGAGTTATATAAGCGCTCTGACTCCTTATGCTGGATGGTACCTAGGGCATTCGATGGACCACCCAAACCGTGCGGCACAGCCGTGCCACATGTGGAAATTGACAATTGAAGCAGACAGAGACCCCATTCGACTTGAGGAACTCGAGGAACTTGGAAGTCTTGGAGGACTCTTTCCAATATCAACAGCTTTCATTTGGCACACTTAGACACTACTCTCCGCTCGTTTCGAACATTCGTCATGGTCTCTGATTGCCTTCCGAATTCGTAGTTCAACGTTTGGCCTTGGACTACGCAGTTGCAGACTAGTCATCTTGGAGTGCGACATGCAGTCTGCTAGGGTGGAAAGCGGGAAAAAATCCACTGTTATTGGGATATGCCCAAGGTATCCCAAGGTTTTGTGAAACAAAGCACGATATAATATACTGTACGAATAACAATGATGCCTTTGCTATTGGCTTGTCCAGACAGTTGCTGCGGAGTCTTTAGCATTTTGGATGCCTTCTTTCCGGCAGGCACAGCCCTGGTGTCTGCCACCTTTGCTCTTCATTTGCCCGACAACTATCCAACCATGAAGCCGGGCGTGACCATCGAAAAGCCACTCAGCGCGGGTTAAACCGTGTCGGGAATCACAGTGAACAGCCGTCGTTTTCGGGTGAGTCAGGTTGCATTCCTTTTCACATCCGAAAGGTGAACCGAAAGTGGAAATGACCTGGAAGGATAGAAGACTTAGAAATTAGAGGCAGCTGAAGACGATAATTAGAGAGAGAGAGAGACAGAGAAAATCCATATATTATAGTTAATGATTTAATGTATGTATATATGCTACACAATTTGACCGTGAACCAATGGTTCACCTGGATTCCATGTCGTCACGTCGTGGTCGATGGTCGACACCGTTGAGGTCACGGGGTCTCACCGATGCCGGGCTTTCTGCTTTGAACTCCGCTGCCAAGTCTGCGTTGGAGACCTATGGCTCCTCAGAGGAGGGCTGCTTATGCCAGGTGGGGCTTTGACGACGTGCTGCGATAGAACAACCGGTTTGCCAGTCTGCATGATCAACATGAACCGTGGAAGATGCTGGTACTTGCTGGTAGCCAGTGGGTACTTCATCCCGGAATCCCCTAGGATGTAGCTGGGGAATTGCACCTCAAGATGCAATAATTCTAGCTTGCTTGCTACTGAAATAGAGGCAGAGACAGAGACAGACAGACAGACAGACAGAAAGACAGAATGAGTACCAAGTTCCAAGTGTCTTCCCAACACATAGACCAAGCAGCCACAGGAGCCACAAGAAACCATTACATGGGGCGGTTAATTGGAGATGGACATGACACCTCCCGTATGGGAAATCGATAAGCAAAGTTTGAGGAATCTGACGGGGGCTCGGAGGCTAGCTTTTCTAGAAAAGAGACTCCAAACTGCCCTGCATATCCTTTATATACAGTACACTGTGTCACCCACCAAACATTACAACTATATAGAACATACTAGATCGGTCGAACCTCTTTGCGATGTCCAGCAATTCCATGGTTTGGGGGCTCCCTGGCCTAGGTAATGGCGGAACTCAACGAGGCCTTAGACTTGGCCAATGATGAAAGCGAGTGTTTGATTTGCCTGCAGGCATGTGGCAATGCGACTCGGCTGGATGATTGGGGCCACGTCCAACAACTCTATAGATTGAACATGAAAACACGGCCAACAAGATCCGTTCTAAGATGTGCCGGGCAGCCTGAAATTCGATGAACTTCACAGATGGTGTGAAAAAGACACGTGACACCAGCGGGCGACCGGCTAATTCTCAGATACATGGGGGGTCAAAAACTCGGCGAACTCAATGGTTTTGGCGTGAACGCCAGGGGGTAATCCAGTTCTCCATTGATCCATTTTCTGCACAAGCCGAAGGAACGACGTTCGTGGCCGCAAGCATCTAATTCCCTAATGAATTGCACAGTCAGCTCTTCCCCCCCATGAAATGAAACAGCAGATGTTCGGAGCGACCATGGCAGTTCCCCGGTTTCGGCGACTGCCATCGCAGTGGCGACTGGTGCGACTGACTTTGCTCGGACGTGGATGGCCCCAGGTCACGGACCAAAGTGTGGTGTATGCTCCCTGCGATCACGTCTACCACGCCAAGTGCCTGGGGCATTGGGCAGCTCTGAAGAAATCCGAGGCCCTGCAGGCGCAGGATCGATTGGAAGGATGATGTTATGCATCGGATTGTCATGATATGTCATGAGGTGATTGTTTTGTTTAGATTTTGTCTCCGGGGCATGGGTCTATTTTTGGCGGGATGATGACACCGAGTCCAGGTCCATTAACCACTGGGTCAACGAAAGCACATACTTGCACTTATGTATGTGGTTGGTAGTGTTCCTATCTGTTGTATATCGTTTATTTCTATTGGTAGACCACTCCTTCGGTGAGGTTTCCCAGCAGCTGATACACAAAACAATGACATGCCAGCACCTCCCCAGTAGGTGGATAGGAATGGTCTTTGGCATTCTGAAATCTTCCACTGAGAAAGCACCTGTAGAAAGCACCTGCTTCGGAGCCGACCGAGGGTGGGCGCGTACCTCCAATAATTTTTTCGCCTGAGGCGGTGGAAAGCTCCACGAGCAGCGTGCGGTCTCAAAGGGATGCCTTGGCGCGAGAAGTGGCGGAGCTGGAGGCCATGGTGGTAGAGTTGCAGGAAGAAGGCTGCAGATTGGAGACCTAGCAATGCAATTTCTGCATCAGGATAGTGACGATTCAAGTCTTTCTGTTTTTTTCAGGAATTGGAGAATGGTCGTCGGCCGTACGTATTGCAATGTTTTCCACCGGTCTTGCTCAAATGACTGGGGCGGCGCCGGGCATGGTGGGCAGCGGGATTGCTGTTTGCACATGTTTGCACAATGTTTCGTTTGGGGCCTGTGGTACTACCACGCAGGAAATGCAGATGGAATATAGGAGTTATTGTTCGCAGGTGACTTCTTTGATTCCAAACTTAGTGGTGAAATCTCACCTTCTTAGAGGGATGATGTTTATTTTATCAGGGATGGTTTCGCAGGTGACCAGGTTATGTGGCTTTTGCGTGACTCATTCGTGTTTGGTTTGTGAAAGCAGATGGTCACCGACTCAGCTTCCCCACAGCTGGACCGATCTGAAACTCCAAGGAGGAGCTGGTGGCTGAGCTCATGAGAAGCTTACTTGCAGAGTTGATGTCTCATGAAGCCATCATTAGGCAAACCAAAGTGGGGTCATTGTGACGGGGTAGTGTAGCCTTTTGACTACTAACACTCCCCATAAATGAAGAGGTTTTACGCTCCAAATGATTTCTTGAGCTAATTAATCAAGAGCCTACATTGGGGTCAATGCTATGTTTTCGTGTTGATTTGGTTCGGATCAGATGTGGGCGGCGTCTTTATACAACCCAATTGTTTTGGGGGGCCCATGTTAGTCTGCAGGAGGGTAAGGACCCCGGCAGGTAGAGCTGGAGAGGCCCCCTACCGTCCAAAGAATCCATCGAAGGGTTGTAGACATAAAACCTGAGAAACCCTCCGGTATCCATCTCACTTGGTCTTCTGGACAAATTCATTACTGACCGCTTTTCTTTTCCCATTGATTGCTGTGGCATGCTGTGGCTGG